TTCTTGTTGTCAATTAAAACGAATGTAGATGTGAAAAGTTCAAAACAAGATGTTCACCTTCTCTCGTATCATCCATCCATACTTTATGGGAAAGTGACTGTCATTATCACACCAGTGGGCTTAGGTGCTCCTACACTTGCACAACAGGAAAAGCCAGAGAATCGGATTACATTCTTCACATAAAAGTTATTTTGTTATCTTTTTAGATGTGAATCAACTGTAGAAAAGTTTCGTCTTCTTCCTGGGTTCATGCAATATAGCTCAATCCTGTCAATATCTTCTGTTACTAATCATTTTTTTACCAGATTACGTCAGATCTATCACATCCACCACACCCATGGTCTTCTAACTAATGATAAAGAGAGAAATAAATCATTCTCTCTCTTTTTCTTTTTTTTTTAAGAATAAAAGTTTGTGCTTAAATTATCATGATTTTCAAAAATTATTGTCTCCCAACCACGATTCTTAATAGATTTTCTAAATTATTGTAAGAATTAGGAATATGTGCTTTTTTTCTTGTTTAAAAGCGTGTCATAAAATGTGTTATATTTATAATGACGAGTTTAAACTAGATTTTTATAAAAAATATAGATGAGAGCGAAAGTTTACCTAAGCCTACATAATTACATATTATTATCTTTTCACTTAAGCAAGCGTGACAAGTGCCTTTCAAGATGGTCATCATTTTATCAAGAGAAATGCCTTCAACCTTTTTAATTTAACAAATAATTACAATAGTGTTTACATCACTAAAAATCGTTTAATATGTTTAACTTGACACTAATTTCACCTCTAAAATTCCCTGTATTAGTAAACATATGACTTGAAGATAATATCATTATACTTAGGATTTATCTATTATAAATATTTTAATCTCGACATGAATGACTTGTCTTTGATCGGATCAGAAAGGGAATTAGACGAGATACACGTAAGTTGACTTGAGCACCTCTGATTGTCGAGCCAAAAAAAAACATAGAACACCGTCATACTTCAAAAGTTAAGGTACAAAGAAATATAGTGCTAATAGGACGACACTAATTAAGTAAAATTTTAATGCCAACAAAATTTTATTTAATTGAAATTCAACATGAGCTTAAAACTTTTGTATGAAAATTGAATGCTACAACATTTTGGTCCAAAAATGAGAGTAAATATTGGGTGCAAAGGTTAAACTATATTAGCAGTTATGAGTGAGAAAGAAAAGAATAAAAAGAGTAAAATAAGGTCCATTTCATATCACAGAGGTGATTATATATGACATGACTGAGTAGTTATGAGTTTAAGTGAAATTTATTAACTGATTTGTCTACATATTAATGAATCGTCATATCATATGATACTGTTAAGATAGTATAACCAATAACAAACATTGCCAAATCAATAGCGCAATGTTTGGTCTTTCAATTTATTTCATTTTTTAGTACTATATCATTCCCATCCCTACTCATTCGGAGACTTAAGTACCATTTGGAATGACTTCCTAAATTGAAAAAAAGAAATTTTGTTGTTGCATTGTTTATCAATAATGTTTTATTGATCAAAATAAAAACCACTTAATGAAAAAATATTTTGAAAATCAACAAAAAATATTCATTTACATTCTAATCATTAATGTACCCTCAAATGCACAGGCAAACATATATAGTAAATATAATTATTGTCATTTTCACTATCATTGTCACCGTAATGTATTATTACTTATCCCATTGTCAATTATCACACTCTATAAATCATCGTTGTCGCTGCGATAGTCACTGCCCATCACCACCTACCACCACACACCACATTCTGGCCATCAGCACAACCGCCACTTGTTTCTATTACAAAAAAATGATGTCAAGAAAATTTCAAGGAAATTAGATAAAAAAAAAAAGTAAACTTGCTTCTACTTGGTAGTTGCGGGGCTAGTGGTTTCTCCGCTGGTCCTCTCTCTCCTCGGGGCATTTGGACGACCGTGGGTTGAACCGCGTGCCACGTCAGGTCAAAGTAGTCAAAATCGAACTACACACGTGTGAGTCAGCGTAATTAGTCAGAGTCGCGGTGCCTTCTTGGCTTACAGCTCACCACACGTCACGCTCCTGTCACGTGATCGTCAACCGTCCAACACGCTTGGCTTTGCTGCAATGCTCCTTCCCTTGTCTTTTCTCGCTTACATCATCCACACATTCACGCTCATCTGCAGCGCGTGCCATTAAAATAATAGGGTTGACCGTTCAAGAATAATATTTCTATCAATCAAACTCCCAAATTGTGCTTTGCGTCAATTTAGCAGTTAAACTATATAATTTGACCCAATTTAACCCTTCTATCCAAATAAACAATTAACTTTGATGAAAATTTTTATGTGCACATTACGTGAGTCCAGAATTAGGGTATAGTACCAAGACCATGGGATGTTCAATTGAGAATTTTTGTCAAAGTTAATAACAAATTTAAATTAAAGGATCACATTCAATTAGATTGCATAGTTTAAAGGTTTGGTTTGATATAAATTATATAGTTCAGGGTCAAATAAATAATTAACTATAAATAATATTCTTCAACTATTATAAATTTTGAATTTAGCAGTTGCGAGTTTAAATATCGTTGTCAATCTCTTTGCAATAGTGTTCGACAAAAAAATAAAATAAAAAACCATTTTAAGTTAAAAATGTTTTCGACTCTCTTCCCTAAGAAGACTGGTTCAAATGTTGAATTAAAAATCAGCCATGATGAGTATAAAAAACACACGACTCCAAACTAAGGTATGTTTATTTAATCAAAATAATTCACCATATTTATAACCCAAATTGCATCAATTAGTCTTTATTTTTTTGAACACCAGAGCATTCATACTAGGTCAATGAAAGGCATACGGGAGTCAAAGGATGTAGTTTAAACAAGAGAAAAAAATATTTTGAAAGAAATTTCACTATCTCTGATATAATTCACCACATTAGCTAGACAAACTCTTCTTTCTCTTGGTAACAAGTGAAATTAAGAGTTTTAGCTCTCATGACCTTTAAAAATCGAAGCCACGTATTACAAAACCATATTTCTTAATCTAAGCATTCAAAAATAAAATAGTACTATGAGTAATGTTATTTGTATATAATTTACTACCTAATTCATTATAATAGTTGGATCGATAGTATATCACATTTAATATTAAAACTTATTTTTAATTCAACGACCATAATGAATAAGGTTAATACATTGGGCAAAACTCCTCTACTGTTCACAAATTTACTTGTGTTAATTATTTTTTATCTCTTTGTAGTTTTGATTAAAATCATCTTGTTTATTTGACGTTTCAAATTATGTACATTACTCCCTTATAATTATGTACCAAAGTGAAGTAATTAATTTTATCATTCAAGTTAATAGAGAGTGTGCTCCACACACCCAAATACATGTTGTGGGTTTTGTTTTTATTGTTTCACTTCAAAAGAATATTGTTTAAGTGCCTAAAATGCCGTTCAAAAAAATATTGTTTAAGTGCCTAAAATACTGTTTATAATGTATGGTATAAAACCTAAATAGATAGGACACCAGTTTTTCAATGCCAAAACATTAATTAATCCAAAATCATTAATTAAATAGTTGTCAAATCAATGTTGGCTTGCTCCTAACTACCACAATCGCAAAATAAAAAAGAAATTTGTCATTTGTCAGATGACCAAGTCCGTAGTCAACTCTCATTGTTCTCGGAGAGTAACACGCACCCTCCACAAACTCGCGTGGTTCTTGTCTCCAAAGCCACAATGTTGAAAGAGCGAAGAATGGCCACCATTGTCCAACGTGTAAGTCGGCGCGTCCAGCCGTTAATATCGACGTCAGTGCGCCCGTCAAATACAAAAAAAATTATAAATTTTTAAGGCCTAAATTATAACTGAAAAAATATGATTAATCTTAAAATATTATAATTGATAATAAAAATTATAAGTTTTCAATATTATTATTATTATTATTATTATTTTTTTTGATATTATACCAAAATTTACTATTTTTAATCAGAGCTGACTATATGCCATTAAAGTTACCGCTTTAGGCCCCCGAAAGATTAGGGCTCTATTTTATAGAGATTTAATTAAGTCTAATAATTAATTAAAATTTTTAAACATATATTCAATTAAGTTCAATGTTATTTTAGTACCTCAAAATAGTAAAATTTTGAGTTTTTTAGATTTGATTTTATTTCGTTGAGAATTTATTTATGTTAGCGACGATATAAAATATCATTTTAGTCTATAATATTTAGCTTAATTTTTATTAATTATAATTTTGTTTCTTTTTATTGATTATATTAACATTAAATTTTGTTTGAATTAATTATATTATTTATTGCAAAAACATGTTAACAAAATTGAACACGAAAATCTAATAAATATTTTTGTTTCTCAAAAGAAAATAATATAAATTATATTTTTATAATAATTTAAATTTTATTTTGAAAATTTATTAGGGCTCATTTAAATTTTTACTTTGAGCCTCATTTTGTGTTGACTTACCCCTAATATTAATGACAATGTTATACATTTAAAAGTTAAAGTTACAAGTCTTTAAGAGAAGTTTACAAACGGCATCCCTGATAGATCATGAGATTCCCTTGGGTTGTAACTTATTTTTTTTTATAAATTGTAATTTGAAAATTAAAAATTATAATTTAATATTTAAAAATTAGAATTTTTATGATCGATCATAATATCTTAAGATTGATCAAATACTTTTGCAAATTTTAACTTACACTTTAAAAAATTAAAACTTAATTTTTTTTATTTATAATTTAATTTTAAAAAATTATAATTTTCGATACCATATTGGCACGATAAAGTTTCTGATTTTTGAATGGTCCTGAAATTTTTTGGTACCAATTGGTCAAATACTTTCACACAAATTCTTAACCGTACACGGAGAGTCAGACATCGCCGTTACCGTTATGGTGTGAAGCTTCCGTCAACTATCCCCTGACACTATAAAAATCTTCTCCTCGTCTCGTTATATTATTTCCAAGCTCTGTAACAAACACCACCAGAAGAACACCACCAGAAGTATCAGCTGAACACAATACAAATTAACTTCCACATATATACAAACGAAGATTCAAACCCTAGTTTTGTTTTTGATCGACAAATATTCTTCAGGTACTTCAATCATTCTTTTATTAAATTCTGACTGTGGATTAGAATTTCATCTTTAGATGTGAGGGCTTTGATTTGTTTTTTTTTCTTTGTGGGTAATTTTTGTGCTGTTTTTGATTCTTTAGAAACTTAAAGAAAAAGAAGAGATAAATTCAGATGATTTCATTAGCATTTATATTAGTGGGTATTGTTAAGAGTTGAGTTAGGCTATGTTGATAAGAGGGTATTGTTTCTGTTGGTTCCAAACCATGGTAAAAAATAAGCTTTTTATTTTTTTTAATTTATTATTTTCGTTCATTTTCTCGGCACCCAAACAGAGCGTGGTTGTATGAGAATTTTTTTTCGCTTATCCAAACGGAGTAGGTTTTCATGACTCAATTTTTTTAAAAAAAATTTGTTGTTTCTTGTTGGTTGTATAGATGGGAAAATGGTTTCTGTTTTGATTTCCTTTGTGGGTTTGGGTTGAATAACTTAGCTGGAAATGGATATAATTTTTGTATTATGATTATTTTTTTTGATAATTTTGTTGCTGATATAATTGCTATCCCAGGGTATGTAGTAAATGGAATTTATTAATTCTTCCTGCAATTAAACACAAGGAAAAATTTCTTAACTTAGGCTTTGTTTTCTTGCAGTTTATGGGCTTTACTGTTTACCCATTTGATTTGGTCTCCTGCTTTTTTATTATTGAGATTAGGTCACCCAAAAAATTATTTGTGTAATTGTATACATAATTTTGTATGTGCCTGTTTGTTAGTTTATATGTATACGTGTGTGCTGGTTTGTGTCGGTTTAGCGTATGTGTATGTGGATATTTGCGGGCGTATATATGTACATGTTATTACTTGAGACATAGACGTTTCTAGTTTTTGCGCCACAAAAATCTGTAAGTTATTATCCTGTTTTTGCAAGCGATTTTTCAGATGTTTGCACCAAACAAATTGTGCATGTGATGTTTCACGTGTAGGCAAATGGAGTTGTAGTCTTGTAAATATGGTTTATTCGAGCTTGCAGTTTTTCCCCTGCGGTTGGTTGCTAGGAAAGAAAAGAAAAGAAAGGGGAAGATTACAATATTTTTAACTTTGGTAATCTTCTTGTTCCAAAATATGAGAAATTATATCCATTTGAGCCAAAGACCTATATGAGGTTTATTTAGCTTGGATTTTGGGGCTCTTCCGTCTAAATATGGAATAATCCCAGTTTAAATGTAGGTGTTCTAAAAACAAATAAAGTACAAAGGCAAATTCCCACTAGACCCCTATGTCAAGACTTATATTTTAGGTTTCCAGTGTTGAATATGCTCATATTGCCTGCCCCTCTAACGGTTATGTTCAAGACTTGTCTATGATGTTATTTGGAAGTTCAATATAAGTCTTTAATATAAGTAGTTGAAGGTATGGACTTTTCTTCTTTGGAATAATGTGGAAGTAAACAGCTTAAGAAGGAAATCCATGACAAAAAATAGATGAGGAAGAGGAACATAGCTATCATCTTTTGCAAGTTAAAAGTTTGGATTTAACATGATATGCTCCTTTATTTTGCCTGGTGTTTTGTCTCTAATTGGAATAGTCTAGGGATTTTCTGCATCTATTCTGCAAATTTAATCTATATATAGTTCTTTGCGAAGATGGTTTTGCATTTGACATGCTATCTGGCTGGGTAGCATTTGCCATTAGAACCGAGCAGTTGTCTGACGTTGCACTGTGGATTGTTGTGTCTTGTGTGCCCTTGGATGTTAGTTATATGAGTTGTCTTTAAGCCTCAGTCAAAACTGTGACTGCCATTGTTCTCTCATAAGTACTAACAAGGAAACTTATCTTTTATTTGTATATATTACAGGTTGATCTTATACGGCTGTCTTTAGTTGTTATCCGATAGAGGACACAGAATCCTTTTCTGAACCAACAAGTTAAACCGAGATTTGTTGTTGCTTGGATGAACTGATGCGAACTTTATAGCATGGACTCGCACCAGGTTTTTGGTTATAGTGTGACTGGTGCAGACTTATCATACTCTTCTTATACAACTATTCCATCAACTCCTATTAGGCTGCTTGGGTCTTTGAAATTTGATCCAACAGACTTGCCTAATTCATCTTTTGTTAATCATTTTGATACTGGGGCCCTTCCTACTTTGAGTGACAGTCAAGAGCAGCACAGTTCCTCCCAGAATTTTTCAGCAGCTAGCCCTTCCTGTAACTCTTCGCTGGATTATAGCCATTACTTCCAAGAGTTAAGCCCTTCTTTGGACTGTTGTCAAGACGGTCTACTTCGTTGTCCTAGTGGAAGTCCTTTACAGAATGCACATCGTGGTCACAGTATAGAACACACGCTGCAGGAGTTAGAGACTGCTCTGATGGGTCCCGATGATGAAGTGGAAAGGACCATGCCAAATCCTTCTTTAGGGGAAAATGAGGGCCCACAAACATCGGGTCTGAGGTCTAGAGCTTGGAGCGACCAACATCAGGAGTCCCATGTGGTTCAATCTCAGTCTTATGCTTCAATGTCTGGTAAATCAGGCGACAGAGTTCATACTGAGAAGCGTCACAGAGAACTGGAAGCAGCAGATTTGCAGGGTATCCCTCCTGGTAATCTTCGAGAGTTGCTTATTGCATGTGCCAGAGCTCTCTCTGAACAAAAACTAGATGATTTTCAGGAATTGATTGAACAGGCTCGGAGTGCTGTGTCTATTAGTGGAGAGCCTATCCAGCGTCTTGGTGCATACATGGTAGAAGGGCTGGTAGCAAGGAAAGAGGCATCAGGCACTGCCATTTATCAGTCCCTCAGGTGTAAGGTGCCAGAAGGCAAGGACTTGCTTTCTTACATGCATATCCTGTATGAAATATGCCCCTACTTAAAGTTTGGTTACATGGCTGCAAATGGTGCCATTGCTGAAGCGTGCAGACATGAAGATCGCATCCACATCATAGACTTTCAAATTGCTCAGGGGACTCAGTGGATAACACTCTTACAAGCTCTTGCAGCTAGACCAAGTGGCCCCCCTCATGTGCGGATCACAGGAATTGATGATCCAGTTTCTAAACATGCCCGTGGTGACAGTTTGGAGGCAGTAGGCAAAAGGTTGGCTGTGATTTCTGCGAAATGCAATATCCCAGTTGAGTTTCATGCACTGCCAATGTTTGCTCCAGAAGTCACAAGGGATGTGCTGGGCGTAAGGCCTGGGGAGGCGCTGGTTGTAAATTTCCCTCTGCAGCTCCACCACACCCCTGATGAGAGTGTTGATGTGAGAAATCCACGGGATGGGCTTCTGAGGATGGTGAAGTCTCTTTCTCCCAAGGTGATCACTTTGATAGAGCAAGAATCAAACACAAACACAGCTCCTTTCCTCCCTCGGTTCATAGAAACTCTAGACTACTATTTGGCTATGTTTGAGTCAATCGATGTCACGCTGCAAAGGAACAGGAAGGAGCGAATTAATGTGGAGCAGCACTGTTTGGGTAGAGACATGGTGAACATTATAGCTTGTGAAGGCAAGGATAGGGTAGAACGTCATGAGCTCTTTGGCAAGTGGAAGTCCAGATTGACAATGGCAGGGTTCCAACAATATCCTCTGAGCTCTTACGTTAACTCTGTAATAAGGAGCTTGTTAGGGTGTTACTCTCCGCATTATACACTGGTGGAGAAGGATGGAGCTATGTTGTTGGGGTGGAAGGACAGGAACCTGGTCTCGGCATCTGCATGGCACTAACAATTGAGAACAGGGGAACCACTCGGAGGTACTAAGAGACCCGTAGTTTATAGACTAGCAATGACGTACATGTTTACATGGTACTCAAGAGTATGATAACAATCTAGCATCAGCCATTGGATTAATTTGAGGATGTCATGTGCTATTGTTATGAAATCTCGTCGCAGAAATATGTGATCATATTGTATTTTCATCCAATCAAAGCATTTTCTTTTCACCTATGTTAAAATTATTGACATACTTGTTGAGTTATATGCAAGATGGAGTTCATCCCATTTTACTCTTTTAGGCCCCTGGAGTATCCATGATTGATTTTCTCATACTCGAGTACCAAGTAATGGTTATAGTGAAGTCCTGCGACCATCATGTTTCTCATATATTGTCATCATCGGGATTCCTAATTTTTTGCTGATGTACCTCCTTAGTCTTGTAGAACTATACTGACTCGATGCCTGATCGAACTCAATGACTCTTTCACTTATCTACAAGTGCTGGGGGGCAGATTTCGATGCGAAGGTGGGCATGTCTGTAGAAAGTGTTTCTTTAATGTTTGAGACAAAAATGAAAAAGCTGTTGTCTAACATGTATCTATGGGTTGGCCTGTGATAAGGAGCTTGTTATAGTTGTTACTCCTGAGCATTGTAGTCTGGTGGAGAAGGAAGGGGCTATCCTCTTTGGGTGGAAGCACGGGAACCATTTATCGAACTCATATCCGACTAATATTGCCTACATCATGCATATAACGCAACTACAAAGTGAAGTGTACCCACAAAAGATTTTAACCGATTATTCAAATTTGCTCCATTATATTGTATTTAATAGATGTGGAATTGGATATACTAATATTCAGTTCGATATGAATTCTCTCTATATGGATACAAATCAAAGGTAAAATTTGATGAAAATATGTTGGAATTAATAGGGTAAAATTCAATTTATTCTCTTATGGTTCAGTAGTTTTTACACGACCTTTCTACGATTTGAAAAATAGAATATAACCCCATTGTTGCTATATTTAATATTTTCGTCTAAACTGACAAAAAATGTATTAGATATCTACTTGCGAAATTGTACATCTATTGTGAAAGTGACAAAAATTGTGATAGACATGACAATTTCGAGAGTAGGTATCTTAAAATTGAAAGTCAAAGTCAAACTTAAATGTGAAAAGACAATTATATCATTGCATAATTTATCGAAACACAAAAATACATTCATCCATTCCAAACCCACTACTCAAATGATCAGCCTTCTCCATCTTCGCTAGCCGGCAACACCACGAGTCAACGACGGTACTCCATCTCTCTTATGCATAGTTTTAAAAATCGCCCGATATCAATCGGAGAAAAGAATTGGGTTAATAGATAATTAAAATAACATATTGATAATGGTGGAATTTTAGAAATGAGCCGCCCGATCTAAAAGTCCAATTCGTTCGGAAAGTCCTTGTTCGTAGAGCATCCCAAACAGCCCACCTGTTTATCCAAAAAGTAAAATGGGCCACAAAGTGGTAAAGCCCAGCGACGATTGGATCTAGGACGCCCAGCACAGACCCAATCCAGCCCCGCAAGAAGGCCAGCTTGAGGCCTAGGAGCTCGGCTTCCTTTATTATTCCAAATCACTCCCGTCATGCCATGTGTCTGAGGACAAAGAGACCACTTCTGACACTCACAACGAACGCACAATCTCTGCCACAAAGTATGTCAGTGTGCATAACCGCTTGAGGGACGTGAAAGCGGTGGTGTTATATGGCAGAAATCACTAGGACACTATTACATTGTACAAAAAAAGGTTCATCGTCTCTCTCATATAGCGTCTACTGTAAACCTCTCAGAGTAACTTGTATTCATTGAATTACTCTTGTAAAGGCCCAAGGTCACACAAAATCATTGTAACAATCTTCTTCAAGAAATATATACCCTAAGGAGTAAGTGACTTTCTTATAGTGGTCGTAACCTTAGTCTTTCGGTTAAGGTGAACCACTTATACTCTTTCTTCGTTTTCCCCTCATATTTCTATTCATTCTCGACCTATATTTTCAATACACCACCTCTTAGCAACACCCAATTATAATTTTGGACTTGGGCTAACATTTCTGAGCACCATCACATATAATAAAATAATAATAAAAATTATTAGTGTTAATAAATAAGTTAGTAATTATAAAAATAACATATTTAATATACATTAAATCAAACAAAAACCCAAAATCAAATCATCGTCTAGAGAGTTGAGAGAAAATATCTACAAAAATTTGTTCAAAAATATTAATATGCCAAAATCAAATCATTTGAACAAAAGTTTTCTCCAAGCCAATACAAACCACAACTGCCCATAAACACGACAACAGATCACATCAAATAAAAATAACATTTAAAAACAAACATACTCACGTCAGCATACCAATATATAAACCCAAAAACTACATATATGCTATGTCGAAATATAAGGCAGATTCATCAAGAAAACAACAACTAACAAAACCCTGAGCACTTAAAAGAGAAACGAACAGAGGAACCATTACACTCGAAAAGATTTATCGAATGTTCTCAAAGATTAAAAAATTTTAATTTACATGCTCAAATATATAAATTTATATCAATGTGCAACTAAAGTTAACAATTGTTCAATTTGTGATCTAAAACTAAATGGATAAATTATATCAAGACCCACTTATGTTTGTCACTTAATTATCTGGGTCCCTTACATTTAAAATATTATATTTACACCCATTGAAAATCCAAATATGACTAAAAGTCTTACCCTAATTGGACATCCAATTAATTATGCTCAAGTGATGTATTGCATTGGATATAAAAAATATTATATAATACCAGTGCTCTTGAATATTATATAATGCCTGCATTTGTATTGGACATTTAAAGAGTAAGCTTAATTTTGAATTTTAGAGTAGAACCAACCCACAAAATAAATGTCAGTATAAAAATTGTAGTTGTTTATTAGGATTACATTATATTTTTTAACGGTTACATTAACGGATATTGACGACAGAGGGTTATGTATTACACCCGCACAAATGTCAGACGGTGTAAGTGTAATATTTTAAATGTGATGGGATCTAGTGATCAAGCCTGAGAGGGTCTAAATGTAATTTACCTATTTAGTTTAGACCACAAAATGACGACGATTAGCTTTAGATACAAATTTATATCTTTAAGGATATAAATTGAGACTCAAGAGATCTTTCAGGGTGCAATTTGCGTTTAACCAAAAAATATAGGGTAAATTACATTTTACCCCCTTGTACTATAACCTTTTGTTTCACTTTGTACCCTCAACTATAAAATTTCTCAAATTGTACCATAAAGTATCAATTTTATTTCATATCATTCTAATAAATAAGATTGTCAAATTTTTGACGATAAATGCCAATTTAAGTGATCTATACCGCCAATAAACAATTACCTATTGCACATGTGCAGGTCAAAAATTATGAAAAATACCCATAAATTACTTTGTCCTTTCTAAACTCCAGATTTTTTTCCTCCGGCTCATATTCTTTTTCTTCCCAATAATCATTTGGTTGGAAAAGAGGTAAAAAAAAATGGTACTAGACACTTGGCAAAAAACTCTTTATGATTGACAAATTTTCAAGTTTGTGGAATAAAAAGAAACAAAATTGATATTTTATAGTGTAATGTGAGAAATTTTATAGTTAAGGGTATAAAAAGAAATAAAAATAATAGTTTAGGGGGGTGGAGGGGTAAAGTATAATTTACTCAAAAATATAAAAAAATCAATGTAGAACCGGTCATAAACATCCATTGTATTTGATGAATTCGGCACGAAGAAGAGGAAGGTAGAAGAGAGAAGGCGATGGACGAGAAAATATTCAGTAATATTAAATGGCGATGTGATATAGTATATTAATCAACAATATTAAGACAAATAAGTGAATAGACCCCATAAAAATTTATAACCAATCAGTCATATAAGCAAATAACTCTCAACTCTTGTACTAAAAAGACTAAAAAATAGTTTATTTGGAAAAAGGTAGTACTTATAATTAAGTTTGTCAATTGTGTCGGAGACGAATTTGTGTCAGAAAATATTTCTCCTATACTCGATTCATTTTTTAATTTGTGTTTTTAACGAGTCATATTATATCGGATTTATGTTGTGTATGAATCATATATAACCGGTATATAAATAAGCCATTTATTTTTTTTGGATTAGATTCACAACTTTATATAGTTGCAACAAAAACAAATGATGTAAGCAATTATCCATTCCAAAATAAGCAAGCCCTGTTGGAGTATCCTGTGATATGGGGTTTACCTAAGTTATTTTTTTTTTATGACTGTCCAGTTGTTTTAACCAAGTCTCATTTGGATACGTGGCTGCTATGTGAACTGAGGATGCATGAAATCACCGGTAAACTATATATATTGAGTCAAGTAAATATATCTTAGAATACTCAAAACTTGGGAGTTGAAAATATTTTCCAAAACTCTTTTATCTTATGAGCTAACCTGGCGGTTTGGCGATTACGTAATTGAAACATAATAATTAATACAATCATTTGATGAAAAGCACAAGACAAACACATAATTGGAGATGATCTCTTGGGGTTCATGCACCCTAAGCTCTGCAAATTTTGTAAGTCAAAGCTGCAAGAAAATTGCGGTGAGCTCTCAAGTACAGGCCCTCTTAAGCCTTAGTTGGAGTAGGTGGCTCACGTCTCAGTAGCCAGTAGGCCCTCGCCCTCAGATTCCCATAGACCATTTACACTTCACATGGATAGAAATGCTTGGTCCCCTACTGCTTATAATAGATTTCTCATAGTATGCAGAATTCCCCTCTCTGAACACATTGAAGGCTCACCTATATGTGGTAACGGGAATCGTCTAAATCACACGTCATTTTAGCTCATGACAACAATGTACTGTATGTAAACGTTGAATACTGTCAACAACTACAACGAATTAGTATACCCAGTTGGTCCAATTTTTATTTCCGTGATTGGTAATCAGTAAATATAATAAGAAAGATCATACCATATCTCTCTGTTTTTGTTGCTATCAAAGACATCTTTTTCTCAATAAAGCTTTAACTTCACTAATTCAAACTCCTCCTGTTTTGTGTATGATGTATTGATTTCACCAAATTGGTGGTTGAGTTCGGTTGGGCTGGGTTGGGTTGTTCAACACAGTTTTGCACATGACAAGGGCCAGGTCTTGTTTGTTTTCAATGGCAAAAGTTTGGAGTGACTTTTGAATTTAACAACTAGTGATGTAAACA